TAGTGCAATACATTACTCACATGTTTATGGTGATGGTGATGTAAATAAACCTACTACACTTCTACTTACATAAAAGTATAGCATACATAATTACAGTAGTAGATTATATCATCTAGGTTTATATAAGTACACTCTGATGTTCACACAAGGATGAAATCACTCACCTAATGATGCTATTTGTCAGACCACATCCCGATTATTAAGCACCACATGACTATAATGGGAACAGTTATTCAAGCAGCTATAACAATTGTAAATATTCAGTCAACATTGAATCACCTAAATATATAAAGCAAATATTAACACATCTAAAGGAAGTAAGCAGCAATAAAATAATGCTAGAGGACTTTACTACTCCACTTTCAACAATGGATAGACGATCCAGACAGAAAATTGGTAAGAAAACTTTGAACTTAAACTTCATGTTAGATCAGATGGAACTAACAGACATATATAGAACATTCCATCCAACAGCAGCAGAATATATATTCTTCTCAAGTGCACACAGAACATCCTCTAGGATAGGTCATATATTTGGCCATAAAACAAGTCATAATAATTTAAGATGATTAAAATCATATCAAACACCCTTTGTAACCACTATTGTATGAACTAGAAATCAATTACAAGAGGAAAACTAGAAAATTCTCAAATAATATACAAGAATAAACTCAAAATGGATAAAAGACTTAAATGTGACTCATGAATCCATAAAAATCCTACAAGAAAACATAAGCAACAAAATTTCAGACATCATATGCAGCAGCACTTTCACTGATGCATCTCCTAAGGCAACAGAAACAAAGGAAAAGAATACATGGGACTACATCAAACTGAAAAGCTTCTGCACAACAAAAGAAACAACCATCAAAATGGAAAGGGAACCCGCTGTATGGGAGAGCATAATCGCCAATGATACGTCAGATAAGGGGTTCATTTCCAAAATATACAACTCAACAAAAGGAAGACAAAGAACCCAATTAAAAAATGGGCAGAGGAGCTAAATAGACACCTCTCCAAATAGGACATACAAATGGCCAAGAGACATATGAAGAAATGTTCAACGGCACTAATCATCAGAGAGATGCAAATTAAAACAATGATGAGGTATCACTTCATACCTACCAGAATGGCTGCCATCAACAAATCATTAAACAACAAGTGCTGGTTAGGGTGTGGAGAAAAGGGGACTCTAGTACACTGCTGGTGGGAATACAGACTGGTGCAGTCATATAGAAAACAGTATGGTATTTCCTCCAAAAATTAAAAATTGAATTGCCATTTGACCCAGTGATCCCACTTCTAGGAATATATCCTAAGAAGTCTTAAACGCCAATCAAGAAAGAATATTTGTACCCCTATATTCATAGCAGCACTATTTACAATTGCTAAGATCTGGAAACAGCCTAAGTGTCCATCAATAGATGAGTGGATAAAAAAAGCTGTGGTACATATATACAATTGAATACTATGCAGCTGTAAGAAAGAAAGATCTCTTATCCTTTGAGACAACATGGAGGGACCTTGAGAGTATTATGCTAAGCGAAATAAGCCAATCAAAGAAAGACAAATACCACATGATCTCACTTATTTGTGGAATATAATGAACAAAGTGGGCTGATGAACGAAATAGACCCAGAGACGTAGAAAGGAGTATGGTTCAGACTGACAAACCTCAGAGTAGGGGGCCAGGGGAGATGGATGAGATGAACCAAAGAACTTATATGCATGTATGCATAACCAGTGGACATAGACAACAATGCTATGGGGGTGGGGAGGAGGGAATCTAGGGGGGGGTGGGGAAGGAGAAACATCTGTAACAAAAATAAATTAATAAAAATTGGAAAAAATAAAAACAATAAAGAAAATTCTCAAATATGTGCAGATTAAACCATATGCTCCTGAACAACCAAGAAGAAATTGAAAGAGTAATAAAATATCTGCAACAAATGAAAATGGACACACAATATACCAAAACTTATGGGATGCAGGAAAAAGACATTTCTGAGAGGGAAGTTTATAGTAATAAATGTCCACATTAAGAAAAAAAGAAATATCTAAAATGATCTAACTTTACACCTCAAAGAACTAGGTAAAGAACAAATGAAGCCCATGTTATTAGAAGGAAGGAAGTAACAAAGATTACCAGAAATAAATGAAATAGAGACTAGAAAGATAATAGAAAAGATAAATGAAACTAAGAGCTGGATTTTTGAAGACTAAAATTAACAAACCTTTGGCTAGACTGATTTAATAAAAGAGAAGACTCAAGTATAATAAAAAATGAAAATGGAGACATGACAACTGGTAATACAGATATACTAAAGAACAGAGGAAACTACTATGAACAATTATACACCAACAAATTGGACAGCTGAAAAGTGGGTAAATTTCTAGGAACGTACAAGCTACCAAGACAATTATGAAGAAACAGAAAATCTGAACAGAACAATAATGAGCAAGGATATTGAATCAGTAATCAAAAACTTTCCAATACAAAAAACAACAACAACAACAACACAGGACCAGACGGTTTCATGAGTGAATTTTACCTGACATTTAAAGAAGATTTAATGCTACACCTTCTCAAACTCTTCCAAAAATAGAAGAAGAATGAACCCTTCCAAACTAATTTTATGCAGCCAGCATTATTCTGATACCAAAACCAGACAAAGACACTGCAAGAACAGAAAATTACAGGCCAAATTTCTAATGAACATAGATGCAGAAATCCTTGACAAAATATTAGCCAACCAAATTTAACATTACATTAAAAGGATCATCCACCATTATCAAGTGGGATTTATTTTTAGGATACAAGGATGGTTCAACATCTGCAAATTAATTAGCGTGATACACCACAGTAAGAAAATGAGGGATAGCTGCCAGCATATATATGCTGTTCCCTAGGCACTAGGGAAATTCAAATCAAGACCAACATGATAAATTAGTACATACTTACCAGAACAGCTAAAATAAAAACTAATGACACCACCAAATGCTGGCAAGGATGCAGAGAAACTACACTGCTGATTGAAATGTAAAATGGTATAACCAATCTGGAAAACAATTTGTAAATTCCTTTAAAAACTGAACAACTATAATAGCAGAAATTACACTCCTTGTATTTATTACAGAGACATGAAACCTGGTTGTGAATCTTCACAGCAACTTTATTTGTGGCAGTAACAAGCTGGAAACAATCTAGCAATCCTTTCACAAGTTATTGGTTTAAAAAACTGTGGTACATCCATACCAGGGACTGCTACTCAGAATAAAAAAGAATAAACTTGGATATATACGACAGCTTAAATGAATCTTGAAGACTTGTATCAAGCAAAAAACAAAACAAAACAAAAAAACTCCAAAACCAAAAGGTTACACATTGTATGGTTCCATTTACATAACATTTTTGAAATGACAAAATTATAGAAATGGAGAACAGATTAGTAGTTGCTAGGGGTCATAGATGGTGTAGTAATGGGCGTAAGAGAGGTTAGTGTGGCTATAAAAGGCCAAGAGGAGTTGGTTTAGTATGATGGCTAAGAACCCAGACTCTGGATCTCATCAGCTTGGGATGAAGTCCTGGCTCTCCCATATCCCATCTGGGTAAGGTAACCTCACTAATCCATAATTTCCTGATTTATAAGATATACATTAGTAGGTTGTTACAAGGAGTGCCCGGCACAGAGTAAGCACTTAATAAGCCTTAGCTGCTATGACATGACAGTGGTAAAGGTGGAGATATGGGTAGTGTGGGAAGAGGAGGTAATACCTGATGTAAGCAACGATAATGCAATATAGATAGGGGCAGTTATCCTAGAGGTGAATACTCCTGAACTGAATTTTAAAGGATGAATAAGAATTAGGAAGAAAAAGCATTGAGGACAAATAGAAGAGCATGAACAAGGTATAGAAGCATGAAAGATTATGTTTAAATATATGTAGTACAGCAATTAGGTATTAACAGAACTTGAAGTAGGAATTGGAAAGTAAGAGATGACTGGAGAGGCAGACCAGGGCCAGGGCATGGAAACTGTTAAATGTTTTTTCTGAGCAAAAGAGCTAAAGAGAAGAGAATGGCGTGGTCGGACTTGCATTTCTAGCTAGTTCACTCTGCAGAGTGAAGGATGCTTTGAATTAGAGAGTATAACTGGAAGATACTCTTTACTACTTCATTTGAGAGATGAAGGCCAGAACCAGGGCCATAGTAATTGAGAATGGAATGACATTCTTGTCCTATTTTCCATATAAAAAACCCTGCTTCAATAGGAGCTTCAATTAGAGTAGCAGGCTAGCCTCAAGTTGTAGGGTGTGTGAGAATGGAAGTCTTATACATGAGGACTATAAGAAGCCCTATCCAAAATTGGCTATAGTTTCTCTGGCTCAGGCTACTTACTAGGACTGAGTGATCCCTTCTGTCTTCTAGGTTAGATATGACTTCTTGCAATCACCTAAGTTAAATATATCAACCTAATAGAAAGCTCACCTTCTTTTACTTTATGATATAGTAAGATGGGAGGGGAATGGATAAAGTGGAAGGAAATAATTACCAAGAAGTATATCTAAGAAAAAGAATTGGATTGCAACCTACATTTGCTAAAATGTTTCATCTATTTTCCCTTCTTATTTATTAAGGTCAAAAAATATTAATTATGATTTTCTTGTATAAAGCTAAAAGGTAAAAAAAATTACAAATTCAGTATGTCATATTCACTACTATTTTATATTCTTCTGTGGCATTTCATTTATTGCTGTGAGAAATAGACTTGAATTTTTCTAAATTTCCCACAGTGCGAACCCTGTGAAAAGGAGCTACATCTATTTTAAAGGCTCTGTGTTGAATGCTTGAAAGCACAGCTGACTACAGAGTAAATTAATGGTTTCACATTATGAAGGACAGTGCTATTTGTATGTATGTGTATATAAACAGCCTTTGAGATATAATTCACTTACCCATTTCAAGTGCACAATATAATGGTTGGTTTTTTCTTTCACAGGGTAAAAAAGATGTGACCCAGATATTTAACAACATCCTGAGAAGACAGATAGGCACTCGATGTCCTACTGTGGAGTACATTAGTGCTCATCCTCATATCCTGTTTATGCTCCTCAAAGGGTAAGTACGTGGTTTCCTTTAAAGAAGATTTGAATTTAGAATAGTTGTTAAAAGTATACAGCATTAGCCTCATTTGAGATATGATGGGTTCTCTTTTGGAATCACAGTAAAGGTATTTGCCGTGCTTGAGGTCAGCCCTCCAAATCTACAGCACCATGATTCCTTAGGCCACAGCAAAATCCTTTCTTTGCATCTTTATATTTTTTTTAATTAAATTTATTGGGGTGACATTGGTTAATAAAATTACATAAGTTTCAAGTGTACAATTCTATAATATATCATCTGTATGTTACATTCTGTTTACCATCCAAAGTCAAAACTCCTTCCATCACCATATATTTGACCTCCTTTACCCTTTACTACCTCCCTCCTCACTCCCTTTCCCCCCTGGTAACCACCATATTGTTGTCTGTCTATGAGTTTTTGTTTGTTTATTTTATTTGTACATTTGTTGTTTTCAGTTTTATATCCTACATGAGTGAAATCATATGGTTCCTGACTTTTTTCATCTGACTTATTTCACTTAGCATGATATTCTCAAGATCCATCCACGTTGTTACAAATAGTAGTGTTTCATCTTTTCTTATGGCTGAGTAGTATTCCATTGTATTTATGTACCCCATCTTCTTTTTCCAATCATCTATGAAAAGACACTTCAGTCGTTTTCATGTCTTGGCCACCATGAATAATGCTGCAATAAACATATATCTTTATGAAAAAATGTTTTCAAAATTTCAGGTAGATACCCAGGAGTGGGATTGCTGGGCCATATGGTAACTCTATTCTTAGTTTTTTTTGTTTGTTTGTTTTTCATCCTCACCCAGGACATTTTTCTATTTTTTGTTCAGATAGAGTGGGAGGGAGAGAGAGAGAGAAACATCGACGTGAAAGGGACACATCGAGTGGCTGCCACCCGCACGACCCAACCGGGGCTGGGGACAAACTACAACCAAGGTACATGCCCTTAGTGGGAACCAAACCTGGGTCTCTCTGGACAGCAGGCCAACGCTCTAACCGCTGAGCCAAACCAGCCAGGGCAGTTTTTTGAGGAATCTATTAAACATAGTATGCACTGGAAGTCTTAGAGCAGTCAGGCAACAGAAAAAAAATAAAAGACATCCAAATTGGGAATGAAGAAGTAAAATTGTCACTTTTTGCAGAAGACGTGATTCTTTATATAGAAAACCCTAAAGGTTTCATCAAAAAACTACTAGAGCCTTGGCTGGTTTGGCTCATCAGTTAGAGCGTTGGCCTGCGGTCCAGATTTAATGCCATCCCCATCAAAATCCCAATGGCATTTTTTAAAGAAATAGAACAAAAAAATCATCAGATATTTATGGAACCACAAAAGACCCTGAATAGCCAAAGCAATCCTGAGAAATAAGAAAAAGCCAGAGGGATCACATTCCCTGACTTCAGATTATACTATAAAGTAACAATAATAAAAATAAGATCTTTCTAAATAAAGTGCCTTCTGTTTACTGCCTCTCTTTCTTCCACTTACATGTTACCTCTTATCTCTTCCTTTTATATTATTGCTTGTGCATCCCAATCTGCCCTTTTCCTAGCTGCCCAGTTACTTTTTCCCTGCTTGCATAAGACCAAATTCCCTAACCCTAAACCCTAACCTTCATTTACACACTCACTCTCTCCTTCTAATGGCTAGTATCTGCCAAGATGACATGCTTCCATGTGAAGATAGAGTAAATATTACGGTATGTATACGGGACCATAGGAGAGTCAAAAAATAAGTCTAGCCAGATGATAGAATGCCTGATTTTTTAAAAATGTGTACTCATTTACAGATATTTTTGGGGCATTTTGAGTCTACTTTTAACTCCAAAAGACCAGAGATTTGGATGTAGGAAGGTTTGGGGACATCAGACTATCTTCTTCCTCCCCTTCCCTATCTTTCTACATCATTATCTCAAACTTATATATTATTCTGTTTCAAAGCTAGTCCATCCATCTCATCTGTATTCATTTCCCAATTCCTATCATGTACATTTTTAAACATTTAATTCTATCTAAATAACATATAACACATAGTATCAAATGTATCATCAAAGAGCAGCTCTTTTCTTCTTTATTTGCCATTTCTCAATCCTATTGCTCAAAGAAAACCACATTTATCTTTTTTGTTTTTCTGTTATTTACCTCTAAATTTCAAATAATAGGCCTATATTTATCTTTTGATTTATCAATTTTAAAAATGACTTTTTTACTTTCTCATAGGCTAGATGATAATTTAGTTTTTCAACTGCCACCATTACTCCATTTTCCTTCCCCTTATTTACCCAATATACTTTATCACAATTTCTTATTTTATTAAAAATCACATTTAAATTATTATGGCTATGTAATCCTTATCTACTGTTGAACAAAGTAGTGTATTATGATTACAATGTTTTTTGGTACAAAATATTGTTTTTTATTTATTTAAAAAATTGTTTTTAAATTTTTCTTTATTTTAGAGAGAGAGGAAGGGAGAGGGAGAGAGAGACAGAAACACTGATGAAAGAGAACTTTGATTGGCTGTCTCCTGCATGCCCCCCACTGGGGATTGGGCCGACAACCTGGGCATGTGCCCTAACTGGGAATTGAACCAGCGACCTCTTGGTGCATGGGTTGATGCTCAACCACTGAAGCACACCGGCTGAGCTAAAATATTGTTTTTAGTGGAGAATTGTGTTTTTTAATTCTGGAAAGGGAAATATACTTATATCATGTATTATTAGTTAGAGTAGGCTAAACTTTTTTTTTTTTTTAATCCTCACCTGAGGATATTTTTCCATTTTTTTTTTGTACGGAGGGAGAGAGAGGAAGAGAGAGAGAGAAACATCGACGTGAAGGGACACATCGAGTGGCTGCCACCCGCACGACCAACCAGGGCCGGGGACAAACTGCAACCGAAGCATGTGCCCTTAGCGGGAACCGAACCCGGGTCTCTCCGGACCGCAGGCCGACGCTCTAACCGCTGAGCCAAACTGGCCAGGGCGAGTAGGCTAAACTTATAACAAACATTAAACTTTATAAGAAGTAGCCCCCCAAAATGGAGTGATGTCTTCACAAGGTAAGTTTATTTCTCATATAATAGTACAGAGCAGATGTTCTAGGTCATCAAGGGGGTTCTGCTTTTTTTAATATGTAGTTGTTAAGATCACTTTGTTCATTGCCATTCCAGCTCACAGGAAGGCAAAAATACACAGAGAAAATAGCTCCTGTTGTCCCATTTACAGTTCATTTGAGAGCACGTAGTCATTTGGCTCCTTAATCCTTAAGGGAATCTGAAAAATGTAGTCTAGTACCCAGGAAGAGGAGGAGAATGTATTTCAGTGGACTGCTTACATTCTGTCACATATTATTTCTTTGACAATTTCTTCCTTTTCATTTTCTCTGTTCTCACTTTCTAGGTCTTCTGTTGGTCAGAGCTGTCTCCATGACTGAGTTCTTATCTCTTCTATTTTTTATTTCTTGTCTTTCTGTTTTACTTTTGGAAGATGTCCTTAATTTTATCTCACATTGAAGATAAGCTATTGAATTTTCATTTCATCCGCCCTATTTTTAATTATAAGAACTCTTTTTTGTTCTCTGATTATTTCTTTTCCTGGTCTCTTGCATTTCCTGGTACTGTGACTGTAGGCAAGTCACTTCACCTTTCCAAGCTGCAGTTTCCTTATCTATAAAATAAGAATAAAATTTGTAATGTTATCTTCATACTAAAATAATGTTGCATTATATGCCATTGGCTATTCATTGTCACAGTGTGCTGTGTTTTCAGTCAGGATTCTGCTACTTATTGGCTGTAAGGTATTGGGCAAGTTATCTAACTTCCTTAAGTGTTGATTTCCTCCTTGCAATATAGAGGTAATCATAAAACCTACTTCAGTAGGTTGTTATGAGTCTTTAATGAAATAATTAAATTGTTGTGGTGGATGAAGGACAGTTATTCTCTGTAAAACTACTCTAGTCAATAAATACATGAGGAATGATAGAATTAGAAAATCACTTTTTTGTAATCCTTAATGAAATGACTGATTCAGGCAGTGTTCTTCAATGAATGGTAAAACAATTAAGTGTAAGGTTGATGGGGAACTTTATAACGGAGTAGGCTATCATTATCTGAACCCATTGCTCAGTCTTAGCATTACTAAATGTATGTCACCTGATGTGATATGTGTGATCTATACAGCACCACCTAAAAAATATAATTGCCAAAATAAAATTGAATTTGAATCTAATAAAGCCTAGTGACTCTCCCTTCAAACTATATGCATGATCTGCTCACAGCCAATGGTTCTACTACTACTGCCCCCATCCAAGCCACCATCATCTCTAGTTGAACTTCTGCTCCTCCTCCTACTTGATCTCCCTGCTTCTACTGTAGCTCCCCATCCCATTCTTTCCTGTTTTACAATAGATTCTCCACAAGTAGCCAGAGTGATCTTTTCAAAGCACATATTAGGTCATGTTAATTTCTTGCTTAAACTCTCCAAAAACTTCCTACTAAAATCCTTACTTTGGCTTACAGAGCCATAGGTGATCTGGCCCCTGCCCTTCTCTCCACTCCTGCCTCATTTTACATCATTCTCTACCCTTCCCCCCTGAATTTCAACTACTGTGGCCTCCTCCTTCTCTAACTCACCAAGCTGGTTCTTGCCTGGGAGGCTTTGCACAGTTAGTTCCGTTTGCTTGAAACCCTTTGCCTATTCCCTGACCACTCAACCTAAAGTAAAGTAAACAAAGTAGTAGTTACACTCTAAATATACTGATTGATAGCGAGCTCTGGGTTCTTGGGAACTCCCAGGATAGAGATAGACTACCCACAGAATTAGGACTCAGGTGAAGGTTTATTAAAGCTTTGTGCACAAAGGGAGACAACCCTTAGAAAAGAGGAAAGATGCTGCACTTTGAGCAATGGCTAGGGAGCAGTTTTAAAGGATTTTAGGCAGGAAATATGACATCTAAGTGTCACGTTTAAGCATGTAGAGTGGTGCTCTTTTTTTTTAATCCTCACCCAAGGACATTTTTCCATTTTTTGTTCAGGTAGAGTGGGAGGGAGAGAGAGGAACAGAGAGAGAGAGAGAAACATCGATGTTCTACAACATAAATGAGAGGAACACATCGAGTGGCTGCCACCCACACGACTGACCAGAGCTGGGGACAAACTGCAACCGAGGTACATTCCCTTAACGGGAACCGAACCCGGGTCTCTCTGGACCGCAGGCCAACGCTTTAACCACTGAGCCAAACCAGCCAGGGCTAGAGTGGTGCTCTTTGGTGCTGTCACAGTACATCACATGTTTCTTCCTGAATTACATGTGTCATTAGTGTCTTAAATCTCCACCCAGGGGTGTGTTTTTTTACTACTATAATGAGGATAAGGTCATGCATTAGAGTCAGGGGTACTTTCCCCCTGTAAAGCAAATTCCTGCAGTTACTGGAACCACTCTGTCTAGCCACTGATTAGGTATAGGGTTCGAAGGGCAACCAAGGGAAATGCCAATCTTTTCATGAGAGGCTTAGCCTGACACACTATTTTATTCTTTATTTCATAGCCCTTCTCAGAATATGAAATTATCTTTTCATTGTTTATAGCCTGCCTCTTCCCCCACCAGACATAATCTCACTAAAATATTAACACTAAGAAGCCAGTGGCCTTGTCTGCTTACTGCTGTACCTCCAGCATCTGGAATAGTACCAGACACATCATAGATATTCAGTGGTATTGAATGAATGGTGTTTGAATGAACTATGACAACCGCTATCTATTGCTTCCTTTAACAGCAGTATTGAAAAGGTTCTTTTGATACTATTAATATTATTTTGTTAATAAGATAACAGACTTTTCTGTTTATCTCGTTTATATTGTAGATATGAAGCCCCACAGATTGCCTTACGTTGTGGAATTATGCTGAGAGAATGTATTCGACATGAACCACTTGCCAAAATCATCCTCTTTTCTAATCAATTCAGAGATTTCTTTAAGTATGTGGAGCTGTCAACATTTGATATTGCTTCAGATGCCTTTGCTACTTTTAAGGTAATTTTTCTTTCCTTAATAAACTAGATTATTTAGTTTCAGCATTTAGTTGAAGTCTACTGGCTTCTGAAGAAGCAATTTAATTTTTAAAAGCAGAAAACTCTATTTCTTAGGCATGCGCATAGACAGCTGTGTATGATGTGCATCATAAGAGGCATTGGTAAATAGAATACAGTCTATTAGGCCAGTCTGTCACATTGTATAAAAGACATCTCAATGAAAAAAAAACCCAAGGAAAATACAGTGCTCTGCGTATGTCATACTTTTATTTTCTTTTATTAAAAACAAAGGGTATAAGCTTCCACTTAAGGTGTATATGTATCAAATGCCTCTAGAAGGATATCTGAGAAATAGAGTGTTTACCTCCAAAGAAAGGAATGAGGTAGCCCTGGCTGATTTGGTTCAGTGATTTGAGCATCAGCCCATGGACCAAAGGGTCTCAGGTTCAATTCCTGGTCGAGGGTACATGCCTGGGTTGCAGGTTCAATCCCTGTATGGGAGGCAACCAATTAATGTTTCTCTTTCTCTCTCTCTCTCTCTCTCTCTCTCTCTCTCTCTCTCTCTCTCTCTCTCTCTCTGTCACTCTCCCTCTGTCCTCCCTTCCTTTTTACTCTAAAAATCTGGAAAAATAGTCAGGCTGGGGTGGCTCAGTGGTTGAGTGTTTACCCATGCACCAAGAAGTTGCTGGTTTGATTCCCAGTCAGGATACATGCCTAGGTTGTGAGCCAGATTCCCAGTGGCAGGGCATGCAGGAGGCTGCCAATCGATGTTCTCTCTCATAGATATTTCTATCTCTCTCTCCCTCTCACTTCCTCTTCTCTAAAATCAATAATAAAAAATTTAAAAAAAAGAAGTAAAAAAGAAAAAAAAGTAAGGCTTCACAAATAATTATAAACATAGCACAAACTTTAATGCAGGAAAAAGTTTGGAAACTTCCCCCAAAACATTTAACAGAATAAACTATACTTGATAATAATGTCCTGCAGTTGTATGTTCAGCCCAATTTAATTTGCAGCACAATACTGAATCACAAAAAACTCTAATGTTTTCATTTGTATTTTAGCATATTGTTTGTTGAACTTAAATCCTTAAAAATCTAAATAACCAAAAAAGTTTTCTAGTATGCTATCAACATTGGAAATACCAATTTTCTACATTGTCCCAAAATTCTGCTGTTAAAATATGTAACAGTGACCTTAAGTCATTTTTTTTAAAGTAGCAGGTCTCAAAGGGGTTTGTTTATTTGGTTTGGTTTTATATTAGTTTGGCTTTTACTTTTAACCTCTTAGACAAACCTTTTTTGTTTTGCACTCCAAGTTGACTGTTGCCCAGTTTAGTCATTAATGTTTTAACATTGTTAGTTTATGTTTTTGTCATGATATTGTCTGCAAATTGTCCTTTCCAAAATGAGTAAGATTTCTTGCAACCATAATCTTTTTTCATCCTCCTCTGAGAATCAGCATATTGAAGTGGTTTGAATTCCATCCCTCTGCCACCTGACTAGCCGTGTGCCCTGGAGAAAGTTAGTTCACTTTTCTTATCTGTGAGACGAAGAAAATAATTCCTGCTTTGTGGAGTTGTGAAGATTGGAAATGATGTGTGTCAAGTACTCAGCACAGCCCCATGCATGTAATAAATCCTTGAAAGCAGCTGTTGGTGAATCTAGTATCATATCCTTGCCTTTGTGCCTCTTGACTCCACCCACTATTAAAACATCAACATCCCATTTATTTTTAAAGCATAATACTTAGACTGTGAATTTAGATCTGTCAAACAGAATTGTTAGGAGGTGGGATGATAGAGTGTATACTATTTCAAATAATGTTTAAAATTTTAAATTCTTTACAGTTTGAACTTTATTTTGATTTGCAGTTTTCTGCTTTTTTTTGGGGGGGGTTAATCCTAGTTAGTTTCTTTTTTCCCCCCTCTCAGTTATATGCTTTATAATAATACTACAATTATATGTGTCTATGTATTATGTGTATATCTACACATGTTTATGTTCAGCAAGTCCTCAAATAACATCATTTCATTTAATGTCATTTCATTATAACATTGATGAGATGCCATAAGAACTTAACCTTTCTTTATGTCAATTAGCTTATGGTAAAATTAGTTTTGTTTTAACGTTGTTTCACTTAAAGTCACAGAACCTACTGACATTGTTAAGTGAGGACCTACTATATATCCATGGCATATGTTTATTATGACATAAATGTTATGGTATATCCATAAATATATAATATGTACACCCTCAAGTGTAAGAGAGTGTGTGTGTCAGAAAGAGAATACAAATCATTTATTGGCTGTGTCCATAATATACATGTGCTGGAGGAATTCTGTCCTACCTTATTCTTCTGTTATTGCATTTTTTTTTCTAACAGAAAGAGATTTATTTATTTATTTATTATTAATTAATTTATTCATTTTTGTTACACATATTTCTCCTTTTTAACCCACTGATTCACCCCTCCCCTTCCCTTCCCTTCCCACCCTGTCCCCAGCTTTGTTGTCCATGTCCATTGTTCATGCATACATGCATATAAGTTCTGTGGTTTATCTCTTCCCCACCACCCCTTCTTCAGGGGATTGTTAGTCTGTACCCCACTTCCACAACTCTTTGACTACCCCATTCTTCAGATTGTTATATTCATTATATTCCACAAATAAGTGAGATCATATGATACTTGTCTTTCTCTGTTTGGCTTGTTTTGCTTAGGATAATACTTTCCAGGTCCCTCCATGTTGTCTCAAAGGATAAGAGATCTTTTCTTACAGCTGCATAGTACTCCATTGTGTATATGTACCACTGCTTTTTTATCCATTCATCTACTGATGGACATTGGGGCTTTTTCCAGATCTTAGTTATTATAAATAGTGCTGCTACAAACATGGGGGTACATATATTCTTTCTGATTGGTGTTTCAGGCTTCTTAGGGTATATTCCTAGAAGCGGAATCAGTGGGTCAAATGGAAGTTCAATTTTTAATTTTTTGAGGTAACACCATATTGTTTTCCATAGTGGCTGCACCAGTCTGCATTCCCACCAGCAGTGTACTAGGGTCCCCTTTTCTCCACACCCTCACCAACACTTGTTGTTTGATGATTTGTTTTGATGGTGGCCATTCTGACGGGTGTGAGGTGATTGATACCTCATTGTTGTTTTAATTTGCATCTCTCTGATGATTAGTGAGGTTGAGCATTTCTTCATATGTCTCTTGGCCATTTGTATGTCCTGTTTGGAGAGATGTCTATTTAGTTCTTCTGCCCATTTTTTTTTTTTATCCTCACCCGAGGACATTTTTCCATTTTTTTGTTCAGATAGAGTGGGAGGGAGAGAGAGAGAGAAACATCGACGTGAGAGGGACACATCAAGTGGCCGCCACCTGCACGACCAACCACGGCCGGGGACAAACTGCAACCGAGCTACATGTCCTTAGCGGGAACCGAACCCGGGTCTCTCTGGACTGCAGGCGGACTCTCTAACCGCCGAGCCAAACCGGCCAGGGCTTCTGCCCATTTTTTTAATTGGGTTCTTTGTTTTCCTTTTGTTGAGTAGTATGAGCACTCTCTAAATATTGGAAATTAACCCTTTATCTGATATATCATTGCAATTATGCTCTCCCATACAGTGGGTTGCCTTTCCATTTTGATGATTAATTTTTGCTGTGCAGAATCTTTTTAGTTTGATGTAGTCCCATGTGTTCATTTTCTCCTTTGTTTCTGCTGCCTTAGGTGATGTATCAGTGAAAATTCTGCTGCGTATGATGTCTGAAATTTTCTTGCCTACAGTTTTTTCTAGGATTTTTATGGATTCATGAGTCACATTTCAGTCTTTTATCCATTTTGAGTTTATTCTTGTGTATGGTGTAAGTTGATGGTCTAGTTTCATTTTTTTGCATGTAGCTGTCCAATTTTCCCAACACCATTTTTAAAGAGGCTGTCTTTAATCCACTGTATGCTCTTGCCTCCTTTGTCAAATATTAATTGAGCATATTGCCTTGGGTCCATTTCTGGGTTCTCAGTTCTGTTCCACTGGTCTATATGCCTGTTCTTGTGCCAGTACCAGGCTGTTTTGATTACATGCCTTTGTAGTATAACCTGATATCTGGTATTCTGATCCCACCTACTTTGCCCTTCTTTTTCAAGATTGCTGTGGCTATTTGAGGTATTTTTTGGTTCCATATGAACTTTTGAAGTATTTGTTCTAGTTCTGTGAAGTATGCCGTTGGTATTTTGATGGGGATTGTATTGAATCTATTGATTTCTTTGGGCAGTATGGACATTTTAATGATGTTAATTCTTCCAATTCATGAACAAGGTATGTGCCTCCACTTTTTTATATCTTCCTCTATTTCTTTTTTCAATGACCTGTAGTTTTCTGTGAATAGGTCCTTTATTTCTTTGGTTAAGTTTATTCTTAGGTATCGTAATTTTTTTGCTGTGATAGTAAATGGGATTGCTTTTTAGTTTTTGTTTCTGTGAGTTCATCATTGGTGTATAAGAATGCCATCGATTTCTTGATGTTAATTGTGTATCCTGCTACTTTGCCAAATTTATTTATTAAGTCTAGTAAAATTTTGATGGAGTATTTGGGGATTTCTATGTATAGTATCATGTCATTGGCGAATAATGACAATTTTATTTCCTCCTTTCTCACTTGGATCCCTTTTATTTTTTCTTCCTGTCTGATTGCTGTGGCTAAGATTTCCAATACTATGTTAAATAAGAGTGGCGAAAGTGGGCATCCTTTTCTTGTTCTTGTTCTTAAGGGAAATTCTTTCAATTTTTGCCCATTGAGTATGATGTTGGCTGTAGGTCTTTCATATATGGCCTTTATAATGTCAAGATATGATCGTTCTATTCCCAGATTGCAGAGTGTTTTTATCATAAATGGTTGCTGGATTTTGTCGAATGCTTTTTCAGCCTCTATTGATGTGATCATATGATTTTTATCTTTCATTTTATATATGTGGTGTATCACATTTATTGATGTGTGA